CAGTCACAGCCTATGAGACGCCTAGGGGCCTAGCCTCCAGGCCACTGGAGCAGGGCGCCATCTGCACCCCCCCCCCTGCTGCCCACCAGCCTGTGCCAGGCCCCCCCCCCCCGAGGCCCTGGCAGGGAGCTGCTTGCTGGCTAATCTGGAGCAGCCCACCCTCCTGAAGTGCACTGCAGCTCCCAAATAGATCCTATTCTTCCAGCTCAGCATTCTGAGTGACTGAACTGTTAGTCCCATGGACTAAAGCTAGGTTTAGTCTCCATTCTTCAAATGAACTGAGAGTTGGGAAGAGAGACAAACCCTTGAGATATGCAAGATCACACTCTCCCCACCTCGGCACAGCAGTTGCAGTGTACTCAGGAGTCTGCCAGCCTTTGGGAAGCTCAGGTGCAACTGAGCTGAGAGAAACATACACACAGACCTGGGAGATGTGCAAAACAGGAGCTGTGCCCTCCCTAAGCAACCACACTCCTACCAGACCCCCTTAGAAAGCACCAGAGAAAAGAACCAGTGGCTGCCCCACCTGCTACTGCACCCACGGGAGGCCCTGTGCTGCCAGGCAGAGCCAGGCCAACTACAATTGGAGCAGCCAACTGTCAGCTGCCAGATGAGAGAAAGTGGCCCGCTTGGTCATAGTAATACTGTATCTAAATGTTCCTTCAAAGAGACAGGTGAAGTCCGGACTTCCACTGCAAAGCAGCCCAACATTTACTCAACTGGATCAGGAAAGCCCATGCAAGAACAACGCTGCTGGATATCAGTGCACTCCACACCGCACTGCACCTAAGGAAGTATGTCTGTCCCCACACTCACACACCTTCTAAGAACATATGGCTGCCGGTCACAGCAGGATGGCACCACCAGATGGAGCAAAAGCACCAAATGCCTGGACACTCAGCAGCCTGGTTCCCAGCTCAGGTTCCTGCCACCTGAAAATATATTTGCATAGCACTCAGGAAAGGGTTTCACAGAATAGCAACTGGTAGGCCATAACCACACCAACAGGAACATTCTTGAAAGCTGGTCCACAGCATACACAGAAGGTTCTGGAAATACTTCCATACCTGTTACCATGACTGGTGCTGGCCCTGGCCCTGAGAGTGGCCTCACTTTTGAGTCAGGGAGTACAGGGGCTGCTTTGTAACACTCATTCAGCCTCCAACCAACTCCAAACTACATTTTCATGAGGTGAGAGCAACAGCAACTATACAACTTAAGAAGACAACTTCCAAGCATCAGGGGAAAAGGTCAAGAATACAAAATTCTTTAAATATCCATAATGATGTCCATGTGTACATGAACTACGTCTTTTGCTTCCTGTCTCAACTTCTCAAAGAACATTTATTCAATTTAAGACCTCACAAATCAGAAATGTCACACATACGAAAATCAGAAAGTCTTTGGAATGTTCTGTAATATGCCTGGGATACCAAACTACACAACTTCGTATCAGATTACTGACCCAAGTGCTATTTAATTAATTTTATTAGAATGGAATGCAACCTATGACAGTTTTATTACTACTATTAAGTCTAGATTCTTACCTGGTAGGTATTATTTACCTTTCATAGATTTGATACCTGATGCCCTGATAAGTTTCAAAATTGGAAAAATTTCCACAAAGCACTGTACAATGCAGAACTATCTGATAGTCTCTCAATTCAACCTTACAAAAGGGGGAAAAACATTAATTATAGAAAAGAAAAAGTGTTTATATAGCCAATATAAGTTGGGGTTTGGGGATGCAAAACTTGCTCCAACTCGGCACTTGTGAGAACACTCACCCTGCGTGTGCCCAGACATAGTCCATGCAACCTCTTGAAACTTTCTCCTGATTGTGAAGGACACCATCCCTTCCAGGTCAGCCACGGACATGCTTCCCTTTTTGCAAGGGGCTTTTATAAAGCATACACTAAAATCATGAATATGCTCTGCTGTGTATTATCACTCAACTAGGAAAAATGCCTTCTCTACCAGTCAGGTGAGTCCCTGGGACCCTGGGAACTTCCGACATTGCAAATCATCCATATGGAATTACCAACACAGACTTGCAGAAATGAACGCATCACACATACAGCACAACTGACACCACACACATAAATGCATGCACACGCACGCGCGCGTACACACACACACACACACACACACACACACACAGGTTAAGTGCTCAGAAAGCGATTTAAAGTACTTATCAGTAAACATTCTATGTTAATGGACCCTAGGAATAAGGACTCGTTTACAATGAGCCATGCAAAAATATTCCAAAATTTATAAAATGTGAAAAAAACAAAGTTATGATGAGTACTCACTATAAAAGTTAAGATTACCAAAAGCTCAGTGGTCAGATGTCCCACCACTGGCCAGGATGACTGCTAATGGAGCAACCTCTGCCCCAGTGCCAGGGCCCCAGATGAGCTGCCAGAGGCAGAAGCAGCACAGAATCCCCTCCCAACTGAAGACCAGCACTTGAAAAACAGTAGGATGGGAAAAAAGGTGCGCCCATCCCACCTGATAGACCCCTGAAAGGGAGCATGTCTTTTCACCTCCAGCCCTCTGACTGTCACTGTGAACAGAGAGCCATTCCTGTCAAAGTCAACCTTATTAAGCATAAAAAAAAAACCTCGATTTCTTATGTACAATATTCAAATTTTAAACTCAAAATTTTTTCCATAGCAGACACCAGCAGGCAAACACTTCCCACTACTGCCTATGCTGTCCCACATGCTTGCTACAAGAGAAGCGGGCAGAAGAGGCTCACACCCAGTAACATCCCCGAGCCAGACAGGAGGTAATCAAGTCGTGAGCAGAGGGACAGCCTCAGGACAAGCTACATTTTTACATTCATAGACCTATTCATGACCTTGCCTCTCTAAACACAAAGAATTTAAAATAGTTTTGTTCCCTTTTAAGCATTCGTAAGTATACAGCATCCTCCATAATACACAGTTGATATCTTTGTCCTTCTTTTGAGAAACAGCAACACCTAAGTGTTCTTAACTGACTCAAACACTTCTCGGGGGGAAAAATATAGGATGACTTTCTAAGCTAAAGAAGATGATACCTGCTCCAAATATGTCTGTTTCTCTTTTACATACCCTCCATTCCAGGAAAATCTAGTTCTACACAGATTTTTCTAATAAAGATATAAAAAACAGCATCCTTCTTTGTAAGAGTTAGGCAATGAAAATTTAGATGACAGAGAAAACTGCTTGGTTGATACCCTCGCCCCTGTGTGTCCTGGCTATACCACTCTAATATTGTATGATGATCTTTAAGCATGTTCCTGTTTCTGACCCCTCCAAGGCTAAACAGAAAGAAAGGGATGCCTCAGAACCAGCTGCTTCTGAGCCACTGTAGCCTCACTACTCTCTCCCTGTCCCTGCAGTTCCCTCTTGGTGCAGTCAGTGTCAAAGAAACAGGCCACTGAAAAATAAATGTCCACATCCCTAGCTGGCTACACACATCACATCAACCCCAAAAGGTTGAAGAACCATCTAAAGTAATTCAGATGCTCTATGAAGAAATTCACTTGAACACTTATTAATGTCAAGACTGCAAACATTACAACAGTGCATTAGTGATACAAGTTGTAAAATACATGTCCATTCCTTTGGGGTTTGCGTATGATGGTTCTGCATCAGTCACTGCAGGTAGATTGAGCAAGCTTGTTTTTTGTGTGTGTGTTTTTAACATGCATTCAACTAGATATAATTCAGAATAGATTAATACTCCCTTCTTATCATTACCATTAGATAAAAAATTGCCAGGCAGACCACAAAACAGGATTTGCTTTAAGACCAACCCACAGAGTTAGCTGGAGACTAACGGTGGCGCTGGAACCTGCTGGGCTGGGACATAGTCATGTTTAGCTAAGTGTCGAGAGCATTAAGAAGAAAGTCCTGGTTGGAGGCACAAGGCCTGCAGCACCAGCTGTGGAACCTCAATGATGTGACTGCACAGCTCCATCCTCAAACCTGGGGGAGAACAGACACATAGTCACATGCAGCATTTCAGGAATGTCACTCAGAAAATGCCATGGTGAGGTCCATACTGTCAGAGAGGGCCACAGTGGGCAAGGTAGCTGAATGGACCACACCTTCCCCCCCAGCCCACCCCCAGCCACACAGAGACCAGGGTTTCCCTGTTTTCTCGAAGTAGGAGGCAGGGATACAAGCAATTCCAGTAGGGGTCAAGGTGCACAGTGTAAGAAGTAAGCGTGCCAGACATAGGTGGTGGCACACAAGACCTGCCTCTAAACAAACAAAGAAGATACTCATGGTTTCCTTCTACTTTGTGGAGTCTCAATAAAAACAAAAGCATAAAGTATTACATTGCTCTTAGCTCAAGGGCAAATGTACCCAGTTAGTGTGTATAGGTTTGCCATTCTGCTCAGGGAAATGCACTCTTGCCAGGGCCCCATCAGCCTTCATGGCCACTTACATTTATCTGCAGAGTAATCACCACTGAGGGGGTACATAGCTGTAAGTGGGTGTTCCTGGGGCCCGGTATGTGGGCACAGTGACCGGGTGAGGGGCAACCGGAGTTGGGGAGTGAGCAGTCAACAGGGTTCCTAGAAGAGAAAGCAGCACATGGCATTCAAGACAAGCTACACTAAACCAACATCTGCATGGTGTTCCACTACCTCTATGAAGAGATGCAGCCTGGACTCTTTGTTCAGAGAGAGGCCCAAAGGAGAGGGATGTCCAGAAGGAGACCCAGAGCAAGGGCAAAAGTACGATTAGATTCTCCCCAAGAATGTAAACATGTATGACCACAGCTGGCTCCTACTGATAACATATTTGTAAAAGGGTCTGTGCAACCCCTTCATATAATATACACAACAATATCTGCGAGACAGATGGTAAGCTACAAAAATTTAAAAACGATATTGTTAACCTTAAACAGGAAAGAAATTTTGATACATGCTACAACATAGCTGAAAACTAAGGGCATGATGCTAAGTAAAAAAAGGTTAAAAAAAAAGCCAGTGACCAAAACAAAACAGCCCTCTGATTCCACTAATGCAATATTTAAGAGTTGTCAAATTCACAGAAGCAAAATGCAGAATGGTAGGTAACAGAAAAAGTGGGCAGTGGAAAAGGTGAGTTTTGTTTCATAAGGAGTTTCAAGAATACTGTGCAGGCTGGTGAGATGGCTCAGTGTTCTAAAGCACCCACTTAGAACAAGCTAAGCTAAGCAAAGCACAGGGACCGCGGTTCGATTCCCCAGCACCACATGCCAGCCAGCCCCGCCCCCTGGTAGGCTGAACTGGCCACACACAAAATAAATAAATAAATAATAAATAAATAAATAAATAAATAAAATAAAAATTAAAAAAAGGGACTGAGGGCGTGCTGAAAAAAAAAAAAAAAAAAAAAAACTGTGTATATACCTGTAGTAGAGAACTGTACACTAACCCAGGAAGACTGCCACAAGTTGAGGCCAGTCTGGGCTACATAACTGAGTTCAAGGCCAGCCTCAACTGCATAACAAGATACTGTCTCCAACAAACAAACATTAAGCGCTTGTCTGGCAAGCGCAGGGGCCTGAGTTCAATCCCCGGTTCCACCAAAAACAAACACACACACACACACACACACACACACACACACAAAGAACAATAAAAACTACACTGAAAAATAGCTAAGATGGAAAGGGCAAAGAAACATGTGAAGTAGGGTTCCAAGCTATATGAGCTTCCAAGCACACTAATCTACTTTTGCTGTACACAGAGGCTTGGCAACTGGATCCATTCAGGAAAAGCACTGCCTCAGTACCAGAGCCAACTCCCTACTGCGCGTGCTCCTTCCTGCACAGGCTAAAGGCTCACAGCTTCTTTCTGCAGTCTTCTCAGCTGTGACAGACAGATGGGGAAATCAAGTAAAATGGAGAGTCTGGACAGAAATAAACAGTATCCTGGAATGCCTTTCTCTCCTTCACTATTCCCTTATTTTGAAGTAACACCCAGAAATAAAAGAATTACGGGCAACCATGTGTCATTTGTATAGGCTCTTCCTGAAAGTGGTCACATTAACCAAAGATCAGGGGCTAAGCCAATCCCCAGACATCATTAGCTCAAGTCTCCAGGGTGTCCCTATGTCTGTGGGGACACGCTAACCCTAGCTAGCCAAGGGTCTTACCTCCCCATGGTTTTTGTTTTCCTGACATACAGGAAGCCTGGGAAAGTAAAGTAGATAAATACCAAAAAGTATCTCCACAGGCACCTATTCATTTAACATAAGATGAAAACATACTCAGTGATACAGCTTGACTGACAAAGAGGGCTCATGGTAAAGATGCAGCCTGTATGACAGTGCAGCAGGCCACAACAGATCAGAGTCAGGGTGCTATTCAGTTACGCTCTTGAAGGGAGGTCACCTGTTCGTGGTTTGTTACTCTATATCCCACACTCATTTCCATTTAGCTAAAAGGAAAACAAGAAAGGACAGCCAGGGAGGGAAAGTCAAAGATGATCTGCTGCTTCCTCCTTCCAAAACTGTGAAGCCACAAAAACATTAGAGCCAAGAATTAATACTCATGAACTCTCCCCCACTTCACCCCAGCTCAGGCCTCCCCAGAACAGACACACAGGAACAGACTCACCTGCTGACATGGCCATGGTGGTCCCAGCAACCATGCCCATGGTGACACCATTGCCCCGAGGAGGAGGGATAGGAGCAGGATACACTGTTGCAGGCATGCCATTGGGTTGCACCACTGTGGTGTGGTGGATGACGTGGGGGGGTGCTGCATACAGTGGCTGTGTGTAGTATGTGCCCTGCTGTGGGGAAAAAAGAGGACAGCTGCTACAGGGTACCACAGCCATGGACACCTGCTAGAGCCACCCCTTCCACCGTGCCTGAGCATACCTGAGCATACGGGCTCTGCTGGGGGTAGGCACTTCGCACAGGGTACACGGCGGTCTGGTAGGGGTTGGGGGAAGAGGAGTACGGTGGCACAGCTCCGCTGGTAGGAGAGCAGGATACTTTGTAAGGTGTACCTGGAGTATAACCTGGAATAGAAGGCAGTGGTCTGAGCTCAGCCTGGCCCATGCCAGGCAGAGGGAAGGGTGAGTTCCATAGGGAGGAGCTAGACACACAGCAGCTGGGGAATAGCTCGGTCAGGATGCGAGACCAGGCAGTCCCATCTTCACTGAAATCTAACTCCACTCCTTAGCTCTGTGTGCACTGGAGCCGGAGGCTTTGGGGTGAAGGACAAAGTTCCATGGTACATATGCTTACAAATACACACCTGTCCTATCCCACTAGAATATAAATTGGTACAGCCTTCTTAGTATTCAGCTGGTCATTAAAAATGCTTACTTCTTTTAACCTCTAGAAATCTGTCTTAAAGAGATAAGCAAATTACACAAAGACTTAAATGTAAACATGTCATCTCAGTGTTAATTATTAGAAAAAAAAGGGGGTGGGGAAGAAACTTACCAAAAGGGAACTGGCTCAGCACCCTATGATAAAAAGACTTCAGTTTAAAGGGATCAGGTCAAATACACTTGTTTTGGCTCCTACCAAAAATGACATTAGAAAGACCAGAACGCAGATTAGAAATTAAAATAGTAACAATAGTAATAATAATAATCTACACAGACCAAGGATAGAAGCAAAGACAGTGCCTTGAAACCTAAAAAGATTCAGTGGAAGATGACTTAGCTTTCCAAAGAAAGCTGTACTTTCAGCCATCGGTGAAGAGACTGGAGAAGCAACCTGACACCAGAAAGCACCTTCCCAGCAACCTGGTAACAACAGGCCGCCAACCTGTCCCAGAAGCTGCTGAGGGACATGAATATACAGAGTAAACATTAGGTGCTGGACTCCCCATGGCAAAAGAAACAGAAGTCTGCTCAAGAAGAGGGGAGATGGGGCTGGTGAGATGGCTCAGTCTAAAGCACCTACTTGGAACAAGCTTGGCAAAGCACAGGGACAGCGGTTCGATCCCCCAGCAC